ACAAAAACATTGTTTTCAATCGTTATGAGTCTACCGATTAAATAGAATTTTATTATAAACAGTTGTCTTGTAAATGGAATTTTTAAAGCATTCTGAATGTAAAAATAAAGAAAAAAAGTGTCCAAGACAATAAGAAACACTACCTGCCAAAAAAAAAAAAAGTGAAGTTTTGTTGAATTGGTTGAAAAATGTAGAAATCCGATCCTATATAAAACGAACACACACACACACACACACACACACACACACACACACACACACACACACACACACACACACCAAACAACCTGGGTTTTATAATAAGTATAACTCGATATGAGTTGTCCCCCTTTCATTCTCACAGCGATGCCTCTTAATCGTGTTTTCAAATTAATTTTGTGCTAAAACAATTGTGTTTTTCCAAGTTTTGGCGCTGTCAGAACCACCGCAAGGTAATTTTACGTAGTCCTGTGAAGTTTTGTTGAAATCGGTTGAAAAATGTAGGAAATCCGATCCAATATAAAACGTACACACACACACACACACACACACACACACACACACACACACACACACACACACAACCTGGGTTTTATAATAAGTATGATATATATATATATATATATATATATATATATAGTGAATTACAATTAATGAGATATAAATAATTTACATAATACAGATGACCATTGCGTCCATGGGAAAGAGGTTTTTCTTTGGACTTATCCATGCAAATACATTTACTAAAATGAAGGAATAAAACAAGAGGGAGTAAGAATTGACCCATAATATTATAGGCCAATTCTTACTCTCTTTCCGTTTATTCTTTCTTTTTCTTTTTTTTTCCTTCCTTATTTCCTTTGAAGAAACGTGGGAATTCTTTCATTTTAGTAAATGTTTTTGCATTGATAAGTCCAGGAGAAAAAACTACTTTCCCATGGATGAAACGATCATCGGTATGAGGTAAATCGTTTCGATCTTGTAATTCACTTATATGCTCTATAATAAAAATTATATGGAGCTCTATTTTCTGGATCAGTTTTAATATTTTATAGGATCTTCTTTCTTGGATTACTTACCCACGGATTATTTACCCCCCATATATATATATATATATATATATATATATATATATATATATATATATATATAATAAGATAAAGAACAAATAGGAAACTTTTTTATCAATCTAAAACGTTTCACCTTTATTAAAGATTCATCAGAGAATGAAATATGGAGAAAAGGTAGAAAGAAATTCTGTATTTTTACTTTTGTGTTGTTTGATTTTCATTGGTTAATCAGGTTTCAAAAGGAATTTATTTATGAATTTATACGCTTGATGATGTGTCAGCAGCTCGTTTCAGGAAAATAAATCAGAAATTTTTAAAGTCCGTAGTTTTAACGTATTGTCCTGAAGAGGAAATGTTCACACAACAGATTAAATGATCCGACACAAAATAACATTAAAAATGTTTAAAACAAAGTTAAGAGAGTTCGTTGCATTCAAAAGTAAACGAAGAGAGATAATTTGAAATACTTAGCGTTCTTAAATTGCTGAAAGAAAATTTAATTTTTCGGCTCATTTTATTTCTAAAAGAATTTCGCATAAGCCCATAACTTTCTTTTCTTTCTTCGCCTTGGCTCAAAGGTTAATTTCTGTGAAGATAAGGTTTTCATTGGTCCAAAAACAATTTCACATAGGCTCCTTTCCAGCTCACGAGACAACTTCTGTGAAGGCAAAGTTTCCATTGGGCCAAAGAAAATTTCACATAGGCTCGCGAATTCCTTTCCGTCTTTTTCCTCATTCCTCCAAATTTGAAGGGAGTGAGTAAAGGAAGTTATTATTATTTCGCACTCACTGCACACTTGCTGTTTATGCTGGTGCACCCAATGTCATCTTTTTGCAGCTTTGAGGGTACCTTCTAGTTCAACTCTTGAGAACCGTAGGTCTTTTGACGATCAGAGGTGACATTGAGTAGAAAACTTAGTTTGCTATCTCTTAGCACTGCATATTGGATTCACCAAAGCTCAATTCTTACGAGATCAAATGATATTCGCTTCTGACCCCTGGCATTTTATAGTGGGAATCACATGCTATACTTTTTTTTTTATATGTCTTTATAAAAATTAGGTTTTCTTCATTGTTTTTACTTTCAGTCGATATTTATTTGCCAGGCATTCCTGCCTTGTGGTCCAATCGAATTTCGGGTCAACGTATAATCTAAGCTAGTGATTCGTAAAGAATCTCAGCGTGGGGAAAACGGAATCAGATTAAAACCGATGATTTTTTTTGTAAACTACAAATTTTTACAATGGTCCTTTTGAGTCTGACAATCTTTAAAGTGGACCATGACATTCTAAAATATGATAAAAAATGGAGAGAAGCCGTTTAGAATGATTGATCGAAATAAACTTTAAGGAGTTCTCTGCTAAAACTGTTTTTTTTTATGCGCATATCAGTAATACAAGGTTTCGATATATGACTGAATATATTTTGTTAAGTATATGCGCATATAGGTGGAGGCACGGCGGAATAATGGATGGCGGCTTGGATTGAGGAATCGCAGAGCTGAGTTCGAATTCCAGTCGAATCTATTAGGTATTAACCCTTGAGAAAGGTATTAATCCTCCTCTTCTCTCTCCAGCTATGGGTAAATAGCAGGGCAGACCGGGTTCTATAGCCTTGGATATGGCAACTGGTCTACCGCAGAAAGAAATGGCAACCTACAGCGGGAAAAAAATCTGCCTCGACAGTCTTGTATCGAAAGATACATGATCGCCTAAGCGTGTATCACGCATGGCACATAACTGACTGATATATAACACAGCAAATGAATCCAAAATTACCTTTTTTTAGCTGTGTGACACTATTTAGAGTTGCTAGAAAGAAAGAAGAAAAAAAAAAGAAAAGACGAGAATTAAATTTAGGTGATAAGAAGTCATCACTAAAAGGACACTAAGCGATGTTATTTTTTGTTTTAACAAATGAAAAGTGGAAAGATTTTATTTTCATTAGCGAAGAAAGTAAGGTCGCGCATCTGTCGCGTTTGATTTATGACGGCGCACCGAGTATGGCAATAATGAAAGTTTCAGGTTGGTCGAGTGGCCTACGAGACAGAATTCTAAAGAGATAAAAATTAATTGGGTCGCGGAAAAATGTCCGTTGGACCAACCGCAGAATTACAAAAACAAAAGACTGAGCCATTAGCTATCTACGGAGATGTCGTTTGGAAAAGGCACCTGTTTATTGTCAGGAGCTGGCTATGATAGCAAAATTATTTTATCAGAACGAATAATTGGCACCAAGGTACGATATCGCCGGATGACCACCCACTTGTTTGGCGAAGGTCCCGTGTGACGAATTCCAGGTGACATTCAGATAAAATTGAGATTAAGGGATCACACTACGGGTCGTATTGGTTTGTTGTCGGGCAGAATCATTCAAGCAATCATTTTAATTTTCTAGATGGTATAACTTATAAATAGTTTCATAAATTGAAATAATATCAATATGACAAACTCAAATTGATTTGACTTTGCAGTAAGCAAAGTAAGGAAAAAAGAATTTAGTTTGTATCACTGCGTACCAAGTAGATAACATGTTTGATTTTAATTCAGAATTTTCAAATCATAGAAATTTTTTTTATAAAGCAGTCACTTAAATTTCTAGACGTTACAACTTCTAAATCGAACCATAAATTGAAATGATATCAATATGAAAAACTCATTTATTTTGATTGTTTTATTTCTATAATGCTAGTTACAAAAAATCCGCTTTTTTTTTGCTACAGTTGTGTTGAAATCTGTGCTAATTAGTTTTATAATAAATAGTAAAATAGTGGCAATCCTTAAAGAATATTTTTATTGACAAACAATAGATAGCTATTCTAGTTTATTTAAAAAAAATGCAGTAATCTTACCTCAAGCTACGGGAATGTCGCTAAAACATATAATATAATTTATATTTAATATATTCAATATAATATAATTATATATTTAATATATTTTAATTATATATTTAATATATTCAAGATGGATGCTGGCGAGTTAGCGGGAGTATTCCGTCTGAGAGGTTTCCCCATAATTTCATTAGCTTAGGGGTCCCAAAAGGTCATAATACGGACCTGCTGATATATTTCACGTTCTTAATTAGAATCCATGACATTCTCTTGTTCGCAGAATAACCACATCCATTTCCCCCCGGGGTCTAAGCAGCACCGGAACTATTTTCACCAACTGGCTTACCAGAAAGAAATGCAAAAAAAAATGAAATTTCATTTATAGTTCTGATAATAGTTAAAGGGGACGTAACTACTTACGTTCTTAATACGGCTCATGAAAATTTTTCTATGAGCTCAAAACGGTCGCTTTTAACATGGCTACGTCATCTTAATGCAATAATTTCTTATTTTTTTACCTCGTTCCTGTTGCATGTCTCAATTTAATAATATTACGCTCGCACGCAAAAGCGGCATTTTAAGGCATTCTGATTATTTAACGAGAGGATTTAGAAGTATAGGATCAACTGTAGGGGATTTAATCCTTCAACGATGGAGAAAGGTTGCACGAATGTGCATGACAATCGGATAAAAAAAAACTAATAAAAATATTTTTTAAATTTAATTTAATGCTTATTTTCGTTCTAATTACATGTGTTGGTGGTGGTTCCGAGTATGTCTGTATATTAGCTAGCCAATCCTTGTTACTGACGCCTGCTCAGGCACATTTGTGTTTCTGCAACACCCACGGAGCCCACTTGTGGTTAATACCGTAACTATGCTGAGCGGCGAAAACTAAATATTTTGTACGCAATTTTCATTTTATTTTTTGGAGATAATGATGGTTTTAGTGATGCAAGTCTTAATAATTAACCCATAGCTGGGGGTAGAAGAGGTGGATTCATACCTTTCCTAAGGGTATTTGCGCCTAAGTGGATATAACAAACACAAGTGGAATTTGAACTCAGCTCTCCGATTAATAATTCCGGTCCATTATCCATTACACCATTCGCACATCCAAGCTTACAGTAAGTGATATTTCCAAGCGGTCACCCATCTAGGTACTGACCAGGCTCAACGTTGCTTAACTTCGGTGATCGTTACGGGAACCGATGTTTCAATGTGATGTGGCCGCAAGCCAATAGAATTGGTCCATCACACACTCACACACACACACACACACACACACACACACACACTAACTGTGGATAGTCTAGAAAAGTCTTTGTAGAGCAAAATATCTAAGAAAATGGACTCTGATTTATTGTACGACGCCAAATTTGGCACTCTGATACGACATTATTACTTGGGCTGGATATTAAATACAATACACACTGAAGAGCCAACTCACCGTTTATGTATTTTCAAAATGATCGCGAGGCTGGGACTGCTGGTTAGGATGAGTGAGAAAGCTGCCTCGACACTTCCCTTTTTAGGACACCTCACCCATCTAGGATTGACCCTGAACTTTACTCTTTAAGTGCAGTGGGAGAGGGTTCTGCCTTTTGGGGATGGCGCAGTGTAACTCTGTAAATTATACTTACTAGTTTTAACCCATGAAAATTCCACGGTTTTCCCATTTTAAATTCTGATGAATCTTAATTCATAAGTTACTGAATGAGTAAGCTCATGGCGAGTTCTACGACAATAAAATATTCGTAGAAATTCTCCTATCGCATTGTTAAATATTTGAGCTTAACAACTTTAAATAAAATATTTCAATAACAATCATAAATATGAATGCTGGTTATTTTAAGAAGTGGGTACAAATGAAAAGATTCAAAATTGACAATTTTTTTCCATTTCACTGAAACTTCTATTTTCCCTTCTTTCTTTCTTTCTTTCTTTCTTTTTCTCACTGAAACGAAGTAGTGTCTTTTCTCTTCTTTCCCCGCGATCAAAACGGAATAATCCATTATATATGAGATATGAACAACATACGTTAAACACATCTTTCTTTCTTTCTTTCTTTCTTTCTTTCTTTCTTTCTTTCTTTCTCTCACTGAAACGAAGTAGTGTCTTTTCTCTTCTTTTCCCCGCGATCAAAACGGAATAGTCCATTATATATGAGATATGAACAACAGACGTTAAACACATCTCTCTTTCTTTCTTTCTTTCTTTCTTTTTCTCACTGAAACGCAGTAATGTCTTTGCAGATGGAGTCATTCTTGGTGAATATACTGATTACTTTTGGATATGAAATCATTTTTATAGTCTTTTACAGCAGTGTTATTCAAAGTACATGATATGCGTAAAGGTGCCGGTACACACACCACCATAAACTGTTGGTACGTAGTTCTCACCAAAAGATGATTTTCGAAATTAAAGCAGAATATTTTTAGACAACTGCTCATCCAGTATAAGACCCAAAAGCCACTCAAGTTAGACAGTTAGTGAATGGGATTACCGTAAGGCAAGAGCCTAACGGGAGGAAGGAGAGAAGCATGTTATTAGGATATGTAGGTTCCTAGAATTGAAGCGGTTAAGACTGTAGTTGTCGGGGAAACATTGTCTCGAGAGTCGGTTCCACAAACTTACAATTCTGGGGAAGAAGCTGTCAGAGTGGAATTTCCTCCTTAACAGCAAAATACGAAGGGAATGAGGAAGAGTTGAGACTGTGGATGTGGGATGACGGGTCATAGTTGTGAAGATCTGAACTGGAGGAGGTAAGGAATATAGTTCGTTTGAAGCTTTGCTATAGTAAGGGCGATAGAGTAGCAAGAGGCTTGTAACGTTTCGTCAGTGGGAAAGAGATATTTTTAAGCATTTCACCCTAAGTAAGGCGAGAACGCCACTAGCACGCAAAGGGTTACAGAGGGTAGAGAACAAGAGTAAAGAAGCGTGTTTAAGGAGAGGATAAAGAGAGGGACGCGGAACAAGATCAAGGTATCAGAAGATGTCGATTGACATTACATTTGAATATTTGAAGGGAAGCAAGTAAGAGGAAAAGAATTCCATAGACGGGAAGTGCGAGAGAAGAAGCTGTTTGATTAGAAGAGACGTTTACATTTAACCGTTTCGACAATGAAACCCTCAATTGCAGCTTTTGCCCAGGGTGAGACCTCAGACGCACACTCTTGGGGATTTAAAACCATATTCCAGGGGAGATATCGACGAGGAAATCACGGAAGGAGTGCCATTCTGCTCGTTTATAACAGAAAGACGTTCTTTACTGGGGCAGGATTGGAGTAATCGCTTTCAAACTCTGTCAAGCCTGGCATGAGGTCACTGAGATTGGTTTCTCAGCCAAGAGAGCCATTCCGACAAAATGCAGATATGGATTTCCATTCTCAATTGGCTGCGGCGTTGTTTTCCCTTTGACTAATATTGGATGACAAAGAAAAAGTTTTTACATTATTTACATTGTTCGGACTGTTGTCCTCATCTTTATTGTCATGTAAATAATGTCAATAATTGCAATACCTCATCTCAGAAATATAGACAGATATTGAAAGAAAAAGGAAGCGATTGTTTTATGTGAGAAATGTTTATATATATATATTCTTTTTTTTAAATTCATTTATTAAAATTTACCATTCTAACATTTATTTACATTACATTAAGATTAGTTTGTTTCTTAAAAGTTATTTATTTATTATACAATGTTGTATTGTTTACAAAATAAATATACATTGTTTTAAAAGTTTACTTTTTTTCTGATTGTTGAAACTTGACTAATGCATGGAATAATAATGCAACACAAAATGTACTTAGAACAAAATGTATTGAAACAAGAAAGTGTACACAATATTTACATATAGTCTTTTGTATATTCCTGGTAAGACCGTTCCTGGAGAATGTGTTGACTGAGTCGCAGTCGGGCAGAGTCTCTGGTTGAATCTCTTGATTCCCCGCTCTCTTCCCGGTACGAACCATATTTATATGGTCGGTACTCCACTATGCAAATTAGGTGGATCCTACCACAACACTGATAAACATTAACATGATCACAAATGATAGTGTAGTTATAATAATTTGGCACATGTAAGTTCCGGTCGATGTTCTTGCGTTTATTTTCGGACTAGTGCCCCTGTGAAAGGATTGAAACAGTTACTTCTCCCGCCAGCTAGGAGTTAAACGACAGAGTAGATTGCGTTCTTGGACCTTTGAGTAAATATATTCAAGATAATACGGAGGGTTAGGGATAAGTCACGTGCGCTGAAACGAACTGGGCGACAGTTTTTGAAGAGAAAGAAAGATAACAACCTTTACTATCCAAATTCATTTAATATCCGAATAGAGAAAGCGAAATAGAAAAAAAAAGTGTGTCTGTAGACAATGTGCGTCTGCGGACTTAGCCCGGAGAAAAGACATTCAGGTGTCTTGCCAACAGGTATCTTGCCAACAGGTATCTTGCCAAGAGACCTTGTTGAAGCAGAAGACCCTTTTTCACTCTATGGTTAGTTTTTGTAGCAGTAAGTTCTCAGTTTTTGCATCCCCTGATTCCACTGCACAGGGCGAGTAGTAAATGGAAGCAGATTTTGTTCGCAGCTTCCTGTAAAAAATCGTAGAAGAAAAGAGGATTTTTTAAATGTTAGCTCTTATATCGCCAGGGTTGCGTGACATTTACAGGCACAGTGCTTGTCCCTTTCTTTAGCCATTTTGTATGATTGTTTGTTTTTTATTTCCGATCTCGAAGATCTACAAAGAAATTGCTAATAAGAATCAGAAGGATATAACTGAAATCTTTGGGACATGTAAAAAGGAAAGAAGGCTTGGAGAATTTAGCATTCACGAGGCATATTAAGTACAAGAGAATAAGGGTAAGAATTGTGTAATCTACTTAACGAGTCTGAGTAAATTGATGTATGAAAGAACACGGACCACAATGTTAAAAAGGTGCGGTAAATGAGCAAGAGTTACACAGATCAACAAAAGGCGGGAAGTTGGGAACGAGTTCACATATCCTGAAAAGACACGGCACATAAAAGCAAAGGAGAACAGTAATTCTGATTTGAATTAAATGACCAACTCTTGAGATATAACTAAAGGTTCGGGGCTATCTTATAAAGAAAGAAGGCTTGGAGAATTTAACACTCACAGAGAATATTAAATACAAGAAAATCAGTGTGAAACCTATTTGACGAGCCTGTGTAAATGAATGGATGGATGGAAGAACAGGTCGGCCATATCTGATTTGGAGCTCCTGTAATAATAAAATACTGGCATTTCTTAATATATTTATTGATAAACAAAAGATAGCTATTCTAGTTTATTTAAAGAATTTGCTGTAATCTCATCTCAAGCAACGCAAATATCCTCGATAAAATCCAAATAAGGATCTATAATGCTATCGGTCCCGACATGTCATCTCCATTTCAGTGACTTTTCCACAACCGTGACGTGGCTTTCATTGGACGTTTTTATAAATATTGTCATGGCAAATCGTCCTAATAAACTTGCTTCCGAGGTACCTCGACGAATGATGTCAAGCGTACTACTAGGCTTCATCGTCTTACTGTTGAAACAGATGCAACCGTAAGTTCTATTCTAATAACTTCTTTTCTCACACTTCTCGCCTGAGGAAGTCTCTTCCAGTTTATTGCGTTTCTGTCTTTTACGCTCTTCAAAAGTTTAAAGGCAACGCCAGTCGCCATCATCAGTTTTCTCTTAAACTTGTTCGTTTATTGTCCTTCCTCATCACTAAAGTTTTCTAATTTTCTTTCACTGTCAGTAAAATCCCTTTCGACTCTGTGGCATTGTCGCCTTTCTTGGAGTGAAATGATTATAAAAACAGAAACAACAAACGAAGACTAACAAAGACGAACAAGCGTAACACAGAACAAGAAAAAAAAAGACAGGAAATTATAGAGAGACATGATTGCCCACGTCTTGAAAGGACACGGCCTATGAAAGAAGATGATCATCTTTCTTTGTTGTTATGCAGTTCTTCATGTGGTGCAAGCCAAAAAGGTCAGTGAAGTTCAGGCGTAAAATGATTTCCTCACGGAACTAATACATTGAGGTTCTTTATTTACTGGTTGGGTGATTTTGATAGTCGTAGGAATGAAATGTCTGGAAAGATGTGGGGAAATGTTAGGTTTAGTTGACAAATGAACAGATCGATCTTTTGTGGAACAACAAATGTCTTTGTCTTTCTCTCTCTCTCTCTCTCTCTCTCTCTATCTATCTATCTAT